CAATCTCCAGCTCGAGAAGGTCGCCAAGGAGACCTGGCACTCTCCCTTGAATTCTTATCGGGAGGCCGTTTAGTTAAACGTCCTCTTACAAAAAGACGGAGAGGTTCCCATTTATTTTTGGTCTGATATTTAATTGATTTCCCAGGGCCTGCAGTGAGAGGAGTCTTGTTCAGGACAGTCTGTATGTGTTAATGTCTGATCGGAATTTATGTAATGCTGAGGTGAAGGCCACGTGACCGCGTGAAATATCTGTCTACCATCATTGATGCCTTGCGCCACGGAGAACTTTTGTTAAACTTTGAAATCTATTCTTAAAGAGCAGTATCATGGGCATCCTCGGAACACATGGTTATTTGTTGTGAAGCGATTGGTGTAAGGCGCCACAACTTGCTGTGCGGAGTTGTGTCCCCTAACTACCGGATTCGTGGGTTCGAATCCAGATTTCGATGAGTATTGAAACGGGTATCGAAACATCTATATCTTGGTTTCGAAGAAGGTTTGGTCAGGTAGTCGTAGGTTCGAATCCCAGGTTCGAAATCAATTATGATCTTTGGTTTGCATTACCATACCGTGAGTGGGAAATGCATAACATTTGTTTTATTTAGGACTTTCATTTAACACTTAGTTGACACGCCGTGGCATAACTGAAGTACTTTTAAAGGCAGCGTTAAGCCAAACTCACTCCAACACGTTATAGGAGTGATGCTACACTAGACTTTGAATATATTAATTACTATTTTTCAAGGTTTGCTAAACAATACGCTCACCAATGTATCCTTAGTTATCGGTCAGAAAAGGCCCCAAGTACCCTAGTTGGTCGTAAGAGGTTGGTCTCTCATACCAAAAGACGTTAAAAGATGGTACTTGTAGTTACCCTGTCTGGCGCTCGGCATATACATATATGTGTTGATAGAGACAGCTCATATGATTATTTGGCAGTGGAGATGGTTGTGGGCCTATTTCTACAGCGATGGTCATTCGCAGCAGGTAATTGAGTCGCTCGTAAAATATCGAGAGTTGTCGCCAATCTTCACCGGAAGTGTGATTTAGAGTAATCTGCCCTTGGTTGTTGTTAAACACAGGTCATACTTGATGGTCCGAGGGGTTACGTGATGTGGCAATTTCAGAAAGGATCTAGAAATGAAAATCAGGCTATATAAAAAATAAAAATATCTGGTTTTGAAGCTGTTGGTGGAAAAATAGTAAATGTCGATACATCCCCCTCCCCCCGCATGAAGATTCTAGTTTAGTTTAGTTTAGTTGCAGTCTTTAGCAACCCATGCTTGTCGTAACTAACGGGATCGGATGGTCTGGCTAGCTGATGATGCATTTCATCGTATCCCAATCGCGTATATCGATGCTCATGATGTCAGTCTCTGGATTGGAGCCGTAAACAACCGGGGTAGAATAGGTCTTCAGCAACCAATGCTTGCCGTAAGAGGCGACTAACGGGATCGGATGGTCAGGCTCGCTGACTTTGTTGATGCATGTCATCAATTCCAATTGCGTGGATCGATGCTCATGAAATTAATCACTGGATTGTCTGGTCCATACTCGATTATTTACAGACTGCCGTCATATAGCTGGAATATTGATGAGTGCGGCGTTAAACAACAAGCAAACAATATAACCAGTTCGGGCACACGGTTGGCTCTGTCGACTCGCTGTACAGAGGTGAGTCTTTCAGCATACTAGAAATGTGATCGTGGGTCGAAACCCGGTTCTCCATGTCTCCATGAATCACGGTTATGTTTCTTGGTTGGTCAGCACCAACCCGTCCTCTAGGATTCCTCCAACATGACGTCATATAACGGAAATACTGTTCGGAGAGACGTTAAACCAAACTTACTCACTCACTATAGCATTTCAGCTGACGCTCATCCTCAGACTGTTCTTCTGGGAAACTCGCCAAAATAGACTGTCTCTGTCCTACGTGTTATTTTAATCTTTGCCATCAGACCATCCTCTTAACCTTCAAACAACGCCTCACTGCAAAACCACATTCTGTCGTCCACAGTGTAAAAAGTGATTTTCCTAATTAACCATAATTTTCTTGACTGCTAATGAAGCTAAAATATTAATGGATTTGATCATGAGTTCCTCCCTGATCCTTCCCAGTCCCTGAGAAACAATTAGAAAGTTTGGAACGAAATGAGAGAATCGAAGACGGTAATTGATGAATGACGGAGTGGCTCTTCTCGTGGCAGTATCAACAGTGCTTTATTGACAATTAACACAATATCGTTCAGTTTGGCCGCGTCGAGAGAGAGAACTTCGGATCGGGAACCGCTTTGTTCTCCGGGGGAACATCTCAAGAGCTCGTCAGTAGTTCATGTTATCACTTTTCGTTTTAATTGGTCTGGTTAATAATGAAGCGTCCTTTGATCACTGTGTTATCGATGAGGAGCACGATATCGTGTTTATTAATTAAATATGAATCATCTAAGATACATTTTAATTAGACATGAATCAGAATTCATAATATCAGTAGTAGTGGCGTTACTTTGTTTATGATAGGCTACACTGCGGTTTATGATCTTTCATTACGCTTAATAATTGTAATCGTTTAGACTTTAGGAAACAAATTAAAGGAATATAGATTTTGGTCAAAAGTATGCATGGTTGAGTTCGTTCAGCTAGAATAGCACATCGAGTCAATCAAAGCTGCTTATTAGCATTGTGAAATTTATATTGAAGCGCACGGTCTCCTTTGCTCCATTAGGTTGCTTTTCTAATGCATAAAGTAAACATTAATAACTAAATTAACGATCGGTTGATCTGAGATCCCGCGGAGCAGAAGGAAGGTAACGAACACTAATTAGCTTCATATAGTTTCCAGACCTCAAGCGAGGCCGTGTTTAAACATTCATGTCTGGCATGAAGGGACACATTTCTCACACAACTTGAGGCGTCTTGTCCGTCAACAATCGTTAATGGCAAGGACGCTATGTTTCAGTATTTTCAGCCTTTGTAGTATGGAATAGAATAATCTTAATACGGTTTTGACACATGGTCAAAGGATGGTCTTAGTAATTCATTAAGATGCAACTGTGTCATTATTTTTTTACCGGCGTCTTTAGTCGCCTTCAGGGGTGTCCACTAAATACTTAATGGGCAGCAGGTTGTTAGTAGACGCACGTGCTGCCCTGGTCAGTGGGTAACATGGATGACTGATTAGTGCAATCTAGGCAGACACAAACATTTACTTAAATAGTGTGAATTTAGGGTAGAATGAATGACAAACTTGACGATCACGTCAACTTTGACCTCGTAGAGTTGCCCCCCTTTTGTTGTCAGTACACGCAGGTCATCTGTCCCAACACATATTACCGCACCATTGGATTGGCATCTATTTTGTGTCTTCGTGGCCGCTCGTGTCTTTCTCCGGAACAAACCGAATCAGGTTACGGAAAGGGTCGAGTGGGGACCAATGCTTCCGTTGCAATTTCTTTGAAGAGTATTGTGCTGTATAGCTACGTCACATTGTTTGTTTTGTTTGTTTGTTGTTTAACGCCGAACTTAGCAGCGGTCTTTATTCTAATCTTTATTTCACATACTGAAGAGGCCACAGGCCTATAGTACGATTTGAAGAATATACAGTTTTATACAATTTATGTACATATCTCAACAGATCACCTCACGTCATTCCGACTCGCATTTCAACGCAGTCACATAATTTCACACATACAGTACAATACCATACCCTGTAATTTCATAATTTCTATATTACCATATCACAACTTGTTATATCATACAACATATTCTATAACATCATATCATATTGTATCATTATTATAAGATCAAACTATATAGTATTATTTCATATAACATTATCATAACATACTATACTATAGCAGCGGTCTGTAAATAATCGAGTCTGCACCAGACAATCCAGTAATTGACATCATGAGCATCGATCTACGCAATTGGGATACGATGACAATATCATGACATGCATCAACCAAATCAGCGAGCCTGACCACCCGATCCCGTTAGTCGCCTCTTGCGACAAGCATAGTCGCCTTTTACATCAAGCATGGGTTGCTGAAGACCAATTCTCACCCGGAATCTTCATTGTTATTGCATGTATGTATGCATGATGGCGATCTAACTGATACGATATGATTACAAGTATGCATGTGCTTAGTATTAAAGTATCGCTAGCGACCTGAATCAGTCGTGTTAGAGGAGCGGTGGGGTAGCCTAGTGGTTAAAGCGTGCGCTAGATCTCGCTGAAGGCCCAGGTTCGATTCCCCACAAGGGTACAATGTGTGAAGCCCATTTCTGGTTTCCCCCGTCGTGTTGTTGCTGGAATATTGCTAAAAGCGGCGTAAAATCCAACTCACTCACTCAGTCATGTTAGAGTATGAAAGTTTATGTAAATTCTTTTTTATCTTCGATGGGACCTTACTTATGTCCAAGAGTTCCCTGGAACTATGGAACTGCTGAATCCATAATGGGAGGTGGAGTAGCCATCACGTATAGGTGTTCGCTCGTCGCGTCAACCACTCGGGTTTGATTCCCTACCCTGGTATGTTTTATGTCTCCGTGATACTCCTGAAATATTGCTCAATGTAGTTTAGCAGCCAACCTCACTCACTCACTCGTGATGACTGAACGAATGATATCAGTGGCATCTTATGATATATTGATTCAAACTTACGAAATGGTTCAGTAGAACATTTTATGATTGGAGAACTAATAACGAGTGAGTAAATGTTTTTTTCTGACGCTTTCGCAACATCATGACATGGAACACTACCATACCCATTTGGGAAATCGAACCCAGGTCTTCGGCTTGACGAGCCATCGCTTTAACCACTTGGCTACCGCACCACCCGCCAAGGCGAACATCAAGACTAATGTTTAAGAGTTGTCTTGAAGTTCTATATCCTTACAGGTGTTAGTACTTTTATCAAGCAGGTTGTCTTCATTCATTGATACAACGGCTTCTAAATTGCCATAAAGATATTGACTAATTGTAACCTTGTTATTTCCAGAATGGCCACGATTCCCAGAGCAGCGAGAAACAGCAATGACTATACCAGGGGTGAGGGAAACGTTCGACCAAGTCACTTACCACGGAATGATGGCTGAGGGTGTGGATGGCGTGAATCCTTGCCTGGACAACTGAAGCACGACTGTAGTATGTCTGTCCTGTATGTACTGTATCCAACATAAGGAATATCCCACATACTCCAGCTGAAAGTAACGTTATTGGTCAAAGGATCGAATCTCTTTGACTGATAAGAAGCATATGTGTGACCAATGCACTGGAGGTGCCATGGTTGTCAGGGCCGGACAGGCTAATGTGAATGGTTGGACAACTACAAGACACGGGATGATTTGCTTGGACACTACACCACGGACACCACGACTTCATCATGGGTGATATGAACGCTTGCTGAGCAGTGGAAGGGCAAGACAGGTCTGGTGAAGACTTCAAGGGCAGGCTGCGCCATTGAAGCGGCGTCACACTAGGCGAGTTACGTCGCCACTCGGTATCACGTCCAAGAAGTCATTTCGAATTATGTCCATGGATTATTTCGTTATTTTAATGTCATCAGGTCCAAAGGGAACCTTGGTCTTAACTATACTGATGAAAACAAATAAGGGAACGTAATAGGGCGAGGGGGGGAAAGACATAACTGTTGCTGTACATGTTTTCCCGTTATCGCGAGGAGTCGATGAAATATATATTTGATATCACTTTATTTCCAGACAAGCCCCGGTCAGTGTACAGTTACACCCAGGATGGTATAATAATGCCTGCCTCTGAACTTGTTCCCTTATTTTATTACATGAGTATATTTGATGAAAGGGTTATCTGCATATGTCACTGTCTGTCCCGTTGCTATAGACTCAATACTCCACACCTTGAGACAAATATGCTTTTCTAATTTGTTTCACTTTTCATGTATCTGTTAATATATGTTCTTCTCGATAATCACTGATTATCTCCATAGTGCTATCATTGAGTCTTTCTGCAAACTTTCAAGTCATTCTCGTCTCGGCCAATCCTAGTTTCCTAAATGATTACAAATTCCCCTAATCGAATCAGTAAATGTATAAAGTAGCAGAAGCTCTAGAATAATGTTACACAGTTTTCATTGTGTTCGCAACACACTGTGAAGAATATACACAATTTACACAATACACAATCTAGCACCAAGACTGAGGAACTGGATCAGGTCCGTCTCTGAGAATTCTCCTGAGGGGGGCCCCTCGGGCAGCAATGCGAGGACCCCACGGTCTGGGGCTGTGTGTATAATTGTAAGTGTTGCTTCACGTACAAACATCACCATTAGGCAGAGAGACATCAGTGAACGTGAAAAGACTCTGTTTCCTTGGCTAACATTAGCAGCGCCAACTCCAGGGCGCGGACTGCAGCCGGTGAAGGATTTGGGCTTAGCGCAGTTCATGGTTCTCTCATGTGAAATCATCTGATCTTGACTTGATCATTCATGGGTATGATATCAATGTAACACAAAGCAAAATGTCAATAAATATGTCACTAAGTGAGGAATTGGTATATACATACAAAATAGTACATGTCCCTCTATTTCTTCCCGTCAGTATAGGTTCGGTTGATGTTATGTTATTACCAAAGGCAGTGTCAGTTATCCGTAAGGTATGATTCAAAGGGGGCGTTATACCTCATGATAAGAAGTAGGATATAAGTGTTCAGAAGAATTAAGCATTAGTCTGATTTTAACAATATCCATCAGTTGTGTCTGTCGCTGGCTTGTTCAGTTGGAGGGCGTGTGAAATTGAAGTGGGAAGGAGTCTCAAGCTCCCACATCGTCGTTCAAGTACATCTCTTTGATGACACCCGGTGTCACGGGTATGGCGCTGCCAGGCCAACAATTCTAAACGGGTGCGAACCGGGATTCGAACTTGTGATCATCGGATCCTAAGGGACACAACTCTGCACAACCCGTGCCCCCTTAACTGTATGCTCGTCTCTTGTGCCAGCACTGCACAGGGGCAATGTAACTGGTTATTGTAGCATCATCACTACAGGAACAGTCTATGTCAATCTGGCTCTCAGCTGATCAGGTAACGATGGAGGGTAGTGATGCGCCCAGATGGTAGTACAACGATACCGTTTGAAGTTCACTGAAGCAATACCCTTTGGAAACAATGCGATAAATGTGTTCATCTCTAAATCAACAGCAATAGATGTCGTTCCTTGTTAAACGGGCAGGATAAATCTTGGGAGGTTAGCTTCTGAAGAATGGCAATACCTCTTCCCTCAGCTGAGGAAGCGCCGTGAACGATGCGTTCAATCAGGAACACAGGCAGTGTGTGGAGCCTTTACGACGTTGCGTCAGCGTAATACATGTGTGCACATCATGCAGTGACCTTGATGAAGGAACGTATCGGTGTGTGGAGTCTGTTTGGGATTTGTGCACGAATAGCTGAATACACATGTTGTGTAAATGAATATGCTGTTGCGTTGTGGAGACATGATGTTGCGTTTTGGAGACATGACCACGCTAATGTTTTGAATAGGGAAACGGATTGGTTATGTGTTCCTGGCGGGATTTCATTCCACCAATGAACACAACAGATGTCAACACTTTATATAACAATGAAGTGAACATTATGTGTTCTCGTTTGGGGTTAAACCCAATAGATGAAATTTCAAAAGCATTACCTTTGAAAAAAATAATCATATTTGCAAATATCACTAACGTTTTCGTAGTGTGCAGTGCGGGAATACAGAGAAGCGTTCAAGTTGAACGTAACGTCAACGCCAGAGTATAAACAGTCTCCATTATCTGTTGAAACAGATTCCATTTGGCGTAATATACAAAATAGTGAATGTAGCACCTGATCGCTTCTCCAAAACGCAACCTCTTCTTTCCCTACACGTGTTTTCAAGTGCAAATGCAACAGTGATATTCAGTCTGCATGAAATTAGATATACTAACAAGGAGAGACCCCTGATCTTACAACAGGTTCAGACACGTAACACTGATGGTTGTTGAATCATAACTCTTGAAACATTCGCCCTGTTTTCGATGATTCTCTTTAAAGAGCTGTTGGCAAAACTTTCAACAAATCAAGTCCTCTTGTTGGCTTAGCGTTTCCAGTTTCACAACTCGTAAACATGCAATACGAAATTCCACAAGTTATGAGCACTGTAGCCAACTAGTCGTGGATTGGTGCTTGCCTTTGATGTAGATTTTTCTTGTAATAGGCGCAGGTAAATCAAAAATGGGTTACATATTTGTGGCAGACACCGACAGGTTGGACGTACATATATTACGTAAACAAAATTCAATTAGAAGCAGCCGTTTGGAAAGTAGTATTTTTACTCCTTATTTTTGACGCTCATGATTTCTTCTTAGAAAGTAAGCGGTTCTTTGGCGATTATCACCTATTTTCCTTGAAGTTATGATGTTTAATCTCCAAACCTTTATTTATGGCTTCACGAAGTTCACAATAATAGTGTCTCTATTCAAATACAGAACGTTAAACGTTGGCGTTCTGATTGTTAATAGTGCAAAACAACATGCACTTTATGACTGAACAAAGTCATAAGGTTTCTTAATTGTCCGTGTAATTGTGAAGATTGCTCAACAGTAAACACCACCAAGTTGCAGTCATTCGTTGAGAATCCAGTGAGTGTGATGATAAACAAGGGAGATGGCGTGCACGCCAACCAACACTCAACTGATGGGTTCAGCCCTCCCTTTACTAGTCATCGCCCCGCTCATCGTCACCACTCGCCCCTTTCCGTAACCTGCAAGAAGATTCGTTACCCTATCGATGAATGTCATGTGCCCAAACACGACAAACCAATCAGAATGCGCGTATGATTTCAATGTCTTCGTCAAAGAATCCCTCAGAAATTATTTTTGATTTTACATATGTCTTCCATGTAAAATTGTACCCAAGACACAGTTAAATGTGTTCAATCATACTGTATAATTCCGCACGTCCCGAAATTGCATCTGAAGTATATATAATATATGAGGAAATATATGTGAACCATTACGCAACGAGTTGACAATTTTTTCAGGTATGTCCGCTTGCGCTAAGACGGAACCCGGTCGCAAAAATGGCCATGAGACGGCCACGAGTCGCTATTCGGCTTGTCCCGGAATAACACGAGTTGGTCCCGAATGCGCCCCGCTCTCAATGTCAAGATAAGGTTTTTATTTTAAAAATAAAAATATTTTAATCGCAAAAGTAAAGTAAAGCCATTCATTGTCTTGGCTTGAGATGGGCGTGAAGTTTGTCAAATATGATCCTCCTGTATTGGAGCACACGCATGTAACCACGTGGTAAAGTGCCCGCACATATGCTATAACGAAGGATTCCAGAAAAATAAACAGTGAGATGTTTCCAAAATTGATATCATTTTTTCCTCTAGGATACCAGTAATCTCTTAGAATATCATGCTTTCTTTGTGCGCATGCGTGAAATGAAAGGTGTGTGTTTGTACTTGTCCGTTGTTCATTACGACAGTTTATCTCTCGTCCCCTCACATCGAGCCACTAAACCATGTGTGTGATGACAGCTTATTCTTTGTTAAGAGAAAAAACAGGGGTGTAGGTGCGTGTGATGTGTGCAGAACGGTTCAGCCATGACAAACGGGACTTACAAAAAAACAACCCCGTCGTTCGTTTGTGTTTACCGTAATGAAATTAGAGACAAAATCTTTATTTTCACTACCAACGTCAAAAAACACATGTTTTGTTTCGTTGCCTAGCAACAGGAATCTTTGTTGTGCAATGCGTATTCACAATTACCTGGAAGAATTTTGGTGCAAGGGCTTGGCATATTTCCACGTGCGCGATGACGACAAGAGTAAATCCGGCGGCGAGAAAACGTGGGTTCCATGTCATAAATCTTTAGCGAATAATACAATATCTGTGTCGTGTTATGCTTGGCTCAGAGTCAGGGGTTGTAAAAAGTTTGGCGTGAACAGTGTTCCCGCGTAAATGCGCGTGCAGGACTACGATGAGAACTCCTCACACCGGGTGGTGTGGTGAGTAAGGAAGGGAATGTCTTCAGAGTTTCCTTATGCGTCTGTAAGTGTTCGCAATCTGTTTACATTTTTCGGGTGAACGGTTCCACGCATTTTTCATGTTTATTATGTTTATTATACAAGGTGAATCTTGTTCTAAAACATACAATGTTAGCAGTTAGGCTTCTTGAAAGGCAATTACTTATTATGTTACCTTTGACATTTTCTGTTTTCACAGTGAGAAACGGTTATGGAGTTGACAGTAGGGGATATTGAAATATATCATTCGTTGAGGAACCCTTGTGATATATCATTAAGACACATGAGAACCATCTGTTCATTTCTACGTCAGCTATGACGTCACACTCCTTATTGTTCATTTGACTTGTTTCCATTTATGGAAATATGAAATATCACTGTTGTTTGTGTGGGGTGTATTATTTCAACTGTCACAAGGTCACGTAAAAAGTGTATGATGTCACACAACAAACATAGGTTTGTTCTACGGAGAAGACGCCATGTCTCCTCACTCACTCAATCACTCACTCACTCTGGGAAATAAATGGCGGATATGGAGGGCGATTTCTTAACATGACGACAATATTTATTTTGAAAACTCGAAGATTTGTTTTACCGCTTGCAGTTTGAACTTAGAACTTGTAGTGGCAGAACAAAGTTCACATGACATCTAGAATTATTATTTTGTCTTATTGCTAAGCCGTGACTGGTTCATTCAGGCAGTGTATGTGACTGAGGGTCTATTAGTCTGTCATACAAACCCTGATACAAATATATTCAATACAGCCCATGCAAGTCTATAATGTTGAGCAAGTCTAGATTTCCACAGTATCTAAAAATGAAGAGAGTCTCTTGGCTTCTTTTTATTATATTTTTATTAAGATAATTTAACAACTTTTTTTCTGTAAGATATGTTCATTTCACAGACTAATTGTTAGTCTAAGAGTCTATGTACACCATTCTGCTCCACGACGGGAGCGAGCGTGGAGCTCTTCCGAAGAACAAATACTTCATTTGTTGAGGCCTTAGAGCATCTATGTTAACTTGATTCCAGCACCTATTCCACTGAATGCCCACAGACTCAACAAACACCACGTGCACACAGGATAAGGTCACGTGGTCATTCTCTACGTTGTCGAATGTACTTAAATTATTTATCTTTTATTAAATACTTTCTTGAAATAGGTCAAGCTTTTTATCAAATTTATTTTGGAGGCACAATGCTTTATACGTTTGAATATTAAATGTACATATTTGTATTTTTGCGCGATTGGAAATAATTTGTACAAACGATATGAATATTTTGCATAGCTGTGTGTTTTATTATAGAGACTGAATATGCGCTTCATCACATGAAGTTATGGTGCTATGCCAATTAACGGTCACGTGCAGATGTTACTTCATTAGCAAACTGTGTGATTGGTTGAATAAATTTGTTGAAAACTGAATTATTATCATTTTTTTTTTTTGGTGTGTGTGTTTTTTGTATTTTGATTTAACTGTTTGTATGTAGATTGTTTAACGCCGCCCTCTTCTGTCTGGGAAGGATGACATGCAATCAACCAAGTCAGCGAGCCTTACCACCCCATCTGTTAAGTCGCCTCTTACGACCCGCATAAGTAGCTAGGGACCTATTCAAACTCGGATTGACCAATGGGAGACCAGCATGGATTACAAGGACCTATTTAAACTCGGAATGACCAATAGGAGATCAACATAGGTTGTCAGGGCCTATTCTCACCCGGAATGACCAAATGGGAGACCAGCATGGGTTGCCAGGACCTATTCTAACCCAGAAACTCCGCGGAGCTGATTGGCGAGTGGCACAGAACACTGAATAATTTTTGCATTGCATTCAGAGTTATGTCCCTTAGTTGTACCAGGAACCGTATGCTGTAGGTTCGTATCACAGGTAAGTTTGCACTTTACACTACATGAAGGCGAGATACAATCCAGCTCACGAACTCACTGTATGATCTGGAAGGAATTTAAGGAATGGCCGCGTGTACACTGTTCTCAGTAAGTTGTATAAAGATAATTGCCCGGACACAGCGAAAGATCTGTACACAATTTGATGCAATATTTCATAGTTTTGATGGTCGAATATAATAAACATATGTCCGTATCACCATTATTGGTAGTGAGTGAGTATGGTTTTACGCCGCTCTTAGAAATATTCCATTATCACGACGGGGGAGACCAGAAATGGGGTTTTACACATTGTATCCATGTATGAAATCAAACCTGGGTATTTGGCATGACAAGCGAACGCTTTATCCACTAGGTTACCCCACCGCCCCATTATTGGAAGGGTGACCCAGATGACAGCTGATTATGCCATCATGTCACATGACTGTGTGACGTAACCGCAGCAATGGGGGTCATCTCAAACAATTGTTGGTACTGAATATCACACGTAAACAATCAGTTGTGAGAGACCTTCTGGTAAGCCAGGATAAGTACAGTTGTGAAGGAAGGGATAGCGGGTGGTCCGCGACTAGTCGGGTAACAACGAGGTCAAATGGCGAGTTAGTACATGATAGTACGTGCGGATGTGAGGTTCCCGATGACTGTCGAAACGGCGACAGCAAGCAAATTTGTATAGATAACAACATTTGAGAAGTATCGTGACAATGAAGTGAATTTTTTTGCTGTAAGAATATTATTTTTACCCTAGAGAGCAATAATGAAAAGTGTCATGTCTTCACCAAAAGATTGTGAAGGTTGTGACCTTAACATAGGACCGTGAAGATCCGGGATATAACAGGTCTTCAGCAACCTATGCTTGCCGTAAAAGGCGACTTTGCTTGAAGGTAGAGGCGACGAACGGGATCGGGTGGTCAGGCTCGCTGAATGCGTCTGAGTGCGGCGTTAAACATCAAACAAACAAAACCTTAACGTAGTGATAGTTGAAACAATGACATACTCCGTAATTTATCCCATTTTTCCTCCATGCAAATGATGACAATTCTCGAGCCCAAGACTGTATGATTTGCATGCTTACCTATCTTTGCCAATTTTATTTGTTTACAAGTAATTCACATATTAACAAACGACTTTCAGAGAATTCTGGTATCGACTTGCCACACAGACCTCTAAATGGTCTTGGGGGCACGGGTGGCCCAGTCGTCTAAGGCGCCGCGATTCGCTGTGCAGAGTCGCGTCCCTTGGGCACGCCAGAAACCTATGATTGTGGGTTCGAATCCCGGTTCGCCCCGATTATGTTTCTAGGTTTGTCAGCACCATACCCGTGCTCGTGGGTTTCACCGAAGTGGTAAACGTCTGATACCTGCATCACTTCGGGCTTTCCTCCCACATTAAGCTGACACGCCGCGATATAACTGGAATATTGTTAAAAGCGGCGTTAAACCCAACTTACTCACTACTCACTCTTAATGGTCTTATGAGCAACACGCGTGTCCACGGGAGCGTAGTCAATGTCATCGTCATGACCTGCACGTGCATAACATGCGCACACCCTCTGTACTTTTACCAAACCAAATATGTTTGCCCAAATTCTGTGTACCGCCTACTTGTTTCAAACGCGTTTTGTGAGTTGGTTCAACATATCCCGGATTACCAGCCGTAGAAAACAGTCTCTCACGGTGCCGCTGATCCGTCCAGCAACGACATCAAATCTATTATTAATCCGACGTGTCTGCGTCGCCGGCCTGATGGCCCTGATTGGCGGTTCTGTCTGATCAAAGAACGTCGAGTCAGATTTTCTTTGGACTTTTTTTTAAAGTCAACCTCACACACCAGCTTCCACGACAGCTAACGTTGTAGTCTGTGATAAGGTTGTAAACCCTTCACGTTCGTGCGACGTGCATCTCCGGCATCGCTTATTAGGA